AAACTGGCAAAATTACTGACATGGTAAGTCAGAAAACAATGCTCCCCTTTACCAGAAAGTAAAGTAGGTTCCCAGGATGTTCTCCACCCCCTGGGCTCCTTAGTGGGATTCCCAGGCATAATAACAAATAATAAATAAATGCCAAAAGCAGATAGATTGCTTTGCAGCATAGAGAAATGCGTTGTGAGACCCCCACTTTTAGGAAAAATGATGAACCGAGGTGTTAGGGATATACCCTAGCAAGATCTGCAGGGCAGTCAGGCAGGCAGGCAAAATATGTGAGATAAGTGTTTTGTAGCTTACACTCAGTAAAACATACACATAATTGTCAGTGAATCGTCAGCAAACTGTCAGCATCTCGTCAGGTTGTCTTGCTCCCTCTTATGGTGGTTTCACACCACACCCAAAATTACATGCTTTGCAGTTAAAGTGACACACACTTAAACTAACAATCCTAGCTTATATATATTATTTTACCCAAACTACGTTAGGTGACCTATGTTATACCTAACATTCTCCCCTTTTGGGTAATATAATAATATATATATCTATTTACAACCTTAACCCATAGTCATCACAACTCTCTTTGTGTTTGACTGCACCTTGGGCTTTCGTGAATTGATCAGCAATGTTTTGCTCAGTCATACAATACTCCAATGTTATTAAACCATTTTTTACAGATTGTCTTACATTCAGATATCTAAGATCTGTATGCTTAGATCTCGTTTTTACAGCAATATTTGTAGCCATCTGTATGACTGCTTGATTGCCCTCATACACAACAATGGAATCATTAACAGTTAATCCCATATCCAACAACAACTGTTTATACAGAATTAAATCAGTACATAATAAGGATAGACATGAAAATTCTGCTTCCATTGTGGACGTACTTATGTGTTGCTGTCTAATTGACCTCCAACCAATCAATGCTTTTCCTAATAGTATAGCCATTCCTGAAGTTGATTTCCTAGTGTTTATATCTGTTGCAAAACTTGCATCAGCATATGCACTTAAAATCAAATCATCTTTTGGCTCCAAATACAATGCATAGTGCATTGTCCTTTTAAGATATCTTAAGATACGTTTTGCTGCTTGCCAGTGTCGTTCAGCGGGTTCAGCGTTGAATCGAGCCAATTGATTAACGCCATAGGCAATATCTGGCCTTGACCAATTACTAATGTACGATAGACTGCCAATTAGCGACTGATAGATAGTCTTATCAAATTTTGAACTCTGAGCATCAGTGCGGCAAAATTCCTGACTCATTGGAGTTTTTGCTGGTTTACAAAGTTCCATCTTATATGTTTTTAGTAATTGATAAATCTTATCCTCTTGAGATATCTTATAGCCACCGTTGGTTTTATTTATTGTCAATCCGAGATACTGTTTTATCTCTCCTAATTGCTTTAATTTTATCCTCTTTCCTAATAATGATATTATTTCAGTAGCTTCATTATTAGTTTTTGTAATTAAAGCAATATCATCTGTAAACAACAATAATAATGACACTATTCCATTTTTCTCTCTTTTAAATAAACATGGATCAGCTAAACCTGCTTTAAACCCTATATTGTTTAACTCCTTAACAATATATTGGTTCCATTCGTAACCAGATTGTTTTAATCCATAGAGACTCTTTTTAAGCTTCCAACAGTCATTATTAGTTTTATCATCCTTAATTCCTACAGGTTTCTTTAGGTATATAGTGTGCTGCAATGGCGCATGCAGATAGGCAGTTTCTACATCTAAATGATTTATGATATAGTTTTTCTTAGCTGCCCACACTAAAGCTGCTCTCAAGGTTGTTGCTTTTAGACTTGGTGCAAACACTTCATCATAATCACATGCAGTTTGATTAAATCCTTGAGCTACCAACCTAGCCTTATGGGTAACAGTCCCATTTTTACCTGTTTTTAATTTAAATATCCATTTACAGCCAATGGACTTTTCACCTGGAGGTAATCTAGCATTCTCATAGACTCTCATCTGTTTTAGTGAATTCAGTTCCTTTTGCATTGCTGTATGCCAGTTCTCCTGATCCTTCGCAGGATACAATTTTAGTTCTTCCACAGTGGTTGGAATTTTACTAATCTGGCACACCATACTTGCCTGATACCTATCAGGTGGTCTACTCTCTCGTGTTGACCGTCTAGGTAGTACAGGACTCACAGGTGGACTCTTATCTATCACCTGTTCCAGGTTATCTATTTCTTCTTCACTTATTTCTTCTTTAATTGGTTCTATTTTCTCTTCCTTTACTTTCTCTTCAATTGGACATTCCTCATCACTAGTATGGTGGCTCGGGCCCCTGTAGGTTTCTATGATTACACTTTTATTCGAATCTTGTTCCAATTTGTGCCATCCTACATGTTCCAGGAATTGTGCACTAGCACTACAATTAATTCTAGTTGTGCCCTCTTCCCAGAACCTGTAAGATCTATGGTTTGATTCGTAACCTACAAAATATAATCTTTTAGCCCTATGCTGTCCCTTATGTCTCACTTGTGTAGGAATATGCACCCATGCTGGTGCTCCAAATGTGTGCATATAGCTTAAGTCAACCAATTAAAGAAATTTTGATATGTTTCCGTTTTACTCTTCATTAAATAACAGAAACCATATCTAGAGTAATGATCCATTATACTTAATATATAACGAGCACCTCCCACACTTGGTTTTTTCGGACCTATAATATCAGCATATATGACCTCTAGAGGCTCCTTAGTCTTAAATCCATTAATTCTATTTGCTGGTATTACCTTGCTTTTTTCTTGACTGCAAGCATTGCAGTGCAAATACTTACTGCAAGGCTTCAGTTTTATACCTTTAGACAGTTCAACCGTTTGCTTGAGCATTTTAAAATTTATATGCCCTAAACGTCTGTGTAACAAATGTATGCATTCATCATGAGGTTTAACGTTATTATACACTGTGTTAGCCACCTCTAATTGATTATCATTTAACACATACAATTCGCCTTTTAAAGTTGCAGTCACTTTTTTACCTTCTTTTTCTATTATGCACTTTTCTCCCCTAAAGGTAACTACATAACCTAGTTTAATCAAAACTCTAACTGAAAGCAAATTAAACTTAAGTTGTGGTACATATAACATTTTTACATTTTTTTTTATGCAAGAACAATATGCTGTACCTTCAGCTTTTGCTTTCAGTTTCCAACCATTTGCTAATGATATCTGCTGTGAACTCGTGGACATCTTAATAAATCTTTTCTTATCTTTCGTTATGCAGTGCGATGCTCCACTATCTACAACCCAAAAATTATTATTGTTCACAGTTTGGTTGCTATACATGGCTAACTCTAAGCATTTTTTATCCTTTTGATGCTTTTTTGCATTCTGGCTGGCATTTTGGCGTTTTTCTTTCTTGCAGAATCTGGCCAAATGTCCTTTTCTTCCACAATTAAAACATTTTCTAATTGTGTAGGCTGACGAAGATAATTCCTCTTCTTGTGGTTGTTCCCTTCTGAGTTGATCCCTTTCAAGCCTTCTCCTGGCTTCTTCAATTAATCTGCCAGTAATGTCAGTTAATGTGAGGTTATCCTTTGGCAGCACTTCCAATGAAGTTACATAGTCATCATAGCTCTCATCTAATGAAGACAAAATTATATAAACCTGATGCAGTTCAGTGAAGATAAGCTCTTTTTCATGCAGCTCCTGAAAAATCCTCTTCATAGTGTTTATATGAGTCAACATGTCTCCATTCTTTTGAAGATGTGTTCTAAACAGCTTCCGTGTAAGATTTATATGAGCTCCTACACTGTCTCGAACATAAATCTTCTTTAAATTCTCCCAGCACTTAGCAGCTGTTTCTTCTCCACGAATATGGACAAGCTGCTGGTCACAGAGTGTCAGTCCTATTATACAGAGAGCTTGTTCATTTTTCAGTTTATATTCTTGTAATTTGTGGGCATCATTTTCATCCTCTGGATCCCAAGCATCTACCTCTGGTGGTTTTTGAATTATATTCCACAAACCTTCTCTGCGTAGAAGTAGGCTGCATTTCATAGACCATGAAACATAGTTTGTTCCATCCAGTTTGGATATTAGAGACAAACTTGGTAAATTGACTTCTGCCATCTTTCTCTGGATATTAAACTATAATTAATAAAACACCGCTGTCTGTTTACAGTATTGTGTAACTACACTAACTCTCACTTTATATAAGCCTGTTATATCCTGGTTAGTCTGACTGTGCAGCTGGGCCCATAACCAGTGTTAGGGATATACCCTAGCAAGATCTGCAGGGCAGGCAGGCAGGCAGGCAAAATATGTGAGATAAGTGTTTTGTAGCTTACACTCAGTAAAACATACACAGTGCCAATTAAAATAGTTTTATTCCAGCAAGAGTTAAAACATAGTCAAAACAGTCCATATATCATTCACTTAGTTCAGTCTGTCCAGGGATTATTCAGTTGCAAATTCCAGTGTCGAAAAAGAGAGGTCAGTACACTTACAAATATCAGTCCGGTGATTTATCTCCTCGCAGTAGAGAGATATGAAGAAAAAACTCCTCTCTTCCTTCAGCAACTCTTCAGTAGGGAAAACATGCAGCTAACAAACATCAACGTAATCCAATCCAGTAATTGTCAGTGAATCGTCAGCAAACTGTCAGCGTCTCGTCAGGTTGTCTTGCTCCCTCTTATGGTGGTTTCACACCACACCCAAAATTACATGCTTTGCAGTTAAAGTGACACACACTTAAACTAACAATCCTAGCTTATATATATTATTTTACCCAAACTACGTTAGGTGACCTATGTTATACCTAACACGAGTGGTGGGCCTAAGCCAGAACATTTAGTAAGTAACCATCTCATGGTCTCAATATGATGCTTCCTTTCCACGTGTCTCCTAAACAGAACGCTAGATGAAGCACCGTGCCTGCCAAGGGCATGTCTAAAGCCAGTCTCTCCCATAGGTAACTTACAATGTGACTGGATTCATTGAGAAGAACAACGACCTGCTCTTTCGAGACCTGTCACAAGCCATGTGGAAGGCCAAGCATGCCCTATTACGCAGCCTCTTCCCTGAAGGTGACCCCCAAAAAGCCTCACTCAAGCGCCCACCTACAGCCGGTTCTCAGTTCAAAGCCTCTGTGTTCACCCTCATGAAAAACCTCTATTCCAAGAATCCCAATTATATCAGGTAACAAATGCCTACTGCAGGGTGAGGAACTCCAACTAGGGCTGAATCGCATTGGGCTTTAGCTAAATGTATGGACTGGTTTCTCTTGTCTCAACAAGGCTCTGCTCATGTTCCCTATGCTGTCAGGTGTATCAAGCCTAACGATAACAAGAGGCCGGCTGTTTTCACCGATGGGCTGGTCCGAGCACAGGTGCGCTACCTTGGGCTGTTGGAAAATGTGCAGGTCCGGCGGGCTGGCTATGCCTTTAGGCAGGCTTATGAGCCATGCTTGGAACGTTATAAGATACTCTGCAAGGAGACCTGGCCACATTGGAAAGGAAGTGGAAGGTAGGTCAAAGTTCTGGGCTGGAGTTGTTGTTCGCAAGGGCTTGGGATAACCTCCGGTATTCAGCAGAAGGTCCAAAGGGTGAAAGCCAATGGTTTAATACTGTATAATGTGCCTCAAAGGACTATTGAAAAGTTGTGCCGAACAGACCCGGTTGCAGAGAACACGACAGGTAGTCCTCAACTTACAGCAGTTCATTTAGTGACCGTTTCAAGGTACAGTGGCACTGAGCTGGTTCGCCGGCAGCAGGTGCAGACACTGAGGTTTCGGAGAGCGAGAGCTTAACAACCATGGTACCAATTGATCAGCTGCAGTGATTTGCTTATCAACGGTGGCAAGAAATGTCGTAAAATGGGACAAGAACTCACTTAACCAAATGTCTCACAACAACAGAAATTTGGGTCTCAATTGTGACCATAAAGTCGAGAACTACCTGTACTCTAGGCACGAGTCTCTATAAAGACTCTATCTGGGGAATTTGATTGGTGGTGGGATAACCAATACTGCTTTGTATTTGGCATAGAAACTGTGGCCATCCTGGTTCTCCAAACCAGTGACCACAGCATTTATTTGCCTACTCCAGCAATATCTGATCCAATGGCGGGATTCAAAATTTTTTACTACCGGTTCTGTGGGCGTGGCTTGGTGGGCGTGGCAGGGGAAGGAAACTGTAAAATCTCCGGTCAGAGGTGGGATTTGCCGGTTCTCTGACCTACTCAAATTTTCCACTACCGGTTCTCCAGAACCGATCAGAACCTGCTGAATATCAACCTCTGATCTGATCTCTTCTCCTTTCTGGTACAGGGATGGTGTTCAAAGTGTCCTGAGCAGTTTGTCCATTGACCCCAAAGAATTGGCCTATGGACACACCAAGATTTTCATCCGAAGCCCATCCACGGTGAGCTAATGGTACTTCAGGGCAACGGAGGCTGAAGAGGTCAAGATTGCTATGCTAATTAAGAGTAAAAGGAAAAGAAGATTTTGCTTGTGGGACTAAGCTGGATAATTCCTCGCTTTTAATTTTCTAATTGAAAGCAAGGGTTTTAAATGCCTCCTAAATATATGCCTGTGCAGCTAATCCATTTTTTTTACCTTTATATTCTCTCGCGTCACACACTTTCCTTGATTGCTGCTGTTGCTTCCTCTTTCTTTTGATTCCACTGGTGTATTGATTACACAGTGAAAAATTTGCTCATCATCATAGGATGCGCTCAACCAGATTTGGCTGTTTAATTACATACGGAGGAAAAAGAAAGATTGAAACAAATGTTTTGGAAAGAAGTGCTGAAATAACATGCAAAATATTGCCAACTCCGCCAGCATTGTTGCAATAATTGCCACTTAGCTGCAACTACTCATATTTATGTAGGGTGATATGAATAAATCTAAAGTATATCACTGCTTCCTGCTGAGTCTTATCAATCCCTTACTAAAACAAAACAAAAAAAATAACGGCAAAGCCTTCCTTCCCACTTGCTCTTCCAGTTCTTTGGGAATTTATTGTAGTTTTCTAAAGTTTACATTAACTAACCTACAACCGAGCTAATGAAAGGAGTGGCAACGCCTACTCAATCTTGACTACCCTAGAGCGATAAACAGATCAGATTAGCTGGGTTGGAACCATCAAGAAATCCCAAGGCTGCAGACCAAAGAGTGAAATCAAAAAAGCATTTCATAAGAAAGCAGTGGCAAAATCCCTTCTGGCCCATGCCAAGAAAACTGCATGAAGGTGTCGAAGGAGATATTACAGGTAGTCCTCAACTTAACCTCAACAGTTCATTTAGCGACCATTACAGTGGCACTGAAAGATGTGACTTATGACCGTTTTTCACACTTTAGGACCATTGCAGCATCCTCTTGGTCACATGATCGTTGCCATTTCGGATACTGGGCAACTGACTCACATTTACGATGGTTGCTATGTCCCGGGAGGATCACGTGATCTCCTTCTGGGACCTTCTGGCAAGCAAAGTCAATGGGGAATTCCAGATTCACTTTACAACCATGTTAATAACTTAACAATTGCAGCAATTCACTTAACGACTGTCCACGACAAAGGTCATAAAATGGGCAAAGGTCATTTAAGGAATGTTTCACTTAGTGACAAAATTTTGGGCTCAATTGTGGTCATAAGTCGAGGACCACCTGTAATTGATAGCCCTACTGGAAATGTTTACTTGAAAAAGGAAGAAGAAAAAAGAATGTGTTGAGGAGAGAAGAGGCTTATCATTCCTAAACAATGATAAAGGTGACGTTTTGAAGGAAATAATCTTCCGATCCTCAAAATATTCATGAGGTTCTCGAGACAAAACCCACAAAGAATAGGACCCACTGACATTTAACCAATTAGGCTTAGTACAGGTAGCTCTTAACTTATGATTGTTTGTTTAACAGTTGTTTGAAGTTACAATGGTACTGAAAAAAAAATAACTTACAACAGGTCCTCACAACCCTCACAGCATCCCCACAGTCACATGGGGTACTTGGCAACTTATGCCAGTTACAGCATCCTGGTTTGTGTGATTTGCATTTATTACCTTTCTGGGAGGTTTCCGACAAGCAAAGTCAATGGGGAAACCTGGGTTTATTTCATGACTAGTGTGATTCACATAACCGTGTTAAATATAGTCGTAAAATCGGGCACAGCTCAGCGACAGAGGTTCTGGTCCCAATTGTGGTCCTCAGTCAAGGACTACCTGTAAAATGCTACCTGTACTCAAACCTCAGTCTACCTTGGTGACTTTCCAACCTTCTTTACAGCTTTTTGATCTGGAGAGGAGACGCCAGCAGCGAGTACAGGAGTTGGCTGCCTTAATCCAAGCAGCTTTCCGGGCATGGAAGTGTCGTAAGAATTACCAAGAGATGCGCAGGAGCCAGATCCTTATTTCGGCTTGGTTTCGGGGCCAAAGAGTAAGAAGCAAAGAGACACAGAGTTGTATATGTTTAGCTGCTTTTGATAAGCGAACTCTGCTGATTTTGGTGCAGAGAGTGCAGAGAAGCGCAACAAAGACGATTAAGGGACTGGGGATTAAAACATATAAAGAGCAGTTGCCGGAACTAGGTATGTCTAGCCCAGTGGTGGGATTCAAACGTTTTTACTACCGGTTCTGTGGGCGTGGCTTGGTGGGCGTGGCAGGGGAAGAATACTTTAAAATCTCCAGTCAGAGGTGGTAGTTCCTGGTTCTCCGAACTACTCAAAATTTCCGCTACCGGTTCCCCAGAACTGGTCAGAACCTGCTGAATGTACCACCCTTGGTCTAGTCTCATGAAAAGAAGGACTAGGGGGAACCTGATTGCAGTGTTCTGATATCTCAAGGGTTGCCACAAAGAAGAGGGAGCCAACCTATTCTCCAAAGCAGGACAAAAAGCAATGGGTGGAAACTAATCGAGGAGACAAGCAACCTAGAACTAAGGAGAAATTTCCTGATGGTTAGAACGATTAATCAGTGGGACGGGTTTGCCTCCAGAAGTCGTGAATGCCCCAACACTGGAAGTTTTAAAGAAGAAATTGGACAACTATTTGTCTGAAAGGCTATAGAGTCTCCTGCCTGAGCAGGGAGTTGAACTAGAAGCCCTCCAAGGTCCCCCCCCCCAACGCTGTTATTCTGGTTTTGCAAAGGCCTCTATGGCAGCTCAGCTTTAAGTCTTTGTGTAGCCTTTGCCCATAAGGACCAGTGCCAGATCCACCCAACTGCACTATACTTTGTTGGGTGTGTATCCCTGTTAGGATTTACCTTCTGTGTTGAGAGCAGCCTCCAGAAATTATTGAAAGTTTGCTTAGTGGCAAGATATGGAGAATATGCATCCACCTCCCACTGTCGCATGGGGATAGAACAGGAAAGGGCAACATTTTAGAGGCTACAGACCATATTTATTTATTTATTTTATTTATTTTATTTTATTTGTCAATTGTTTACAAGATAATAAGTATAAGTGTATACATAGTTATGAATACATGAAATGGGTACATATAAGAAAAATAAAAGAAAAATAAAAAGAAACAACAGGACAGGGATGGTAGGCACATTGGTGCGCTTATGCACGCCCCCTACAGACCTCTTAGGAAAGGGGTGAGATCAATAGTAGACAGTCTAAGGTTAAAGTTTTTGGGGTTTGGGGAAGAAACTACAGAGTCGGGTAGAGTATTCCAGACATTGACCACTCTGTTGCTGAAGTCGTATTTCCTGCAATCAAGCTTGGTGCGGTTAACCTTGAGTTTGTATCTGTTGTGTGCTCTTGTGTTGTTATGGTTGAAGCTGAAGTATTCATTGACAGGTAGGACATTGCAATGTATGATTTTATATACCATGCTTAAATCAGACCGAAGACGGCGTAATTCAAGGTTTTCTAGTTCTAGAATTTCAAGTCTGGTGGCATAAGGTATTCTACAACGAGTAGAGGAGTGGAGAACTCTTCTTGTGAAATATTTCTGGACTTTCTCAATTGTGCTAATATCAGATACGTAATGTGGGTTCCAGACTGATGAGCTGTATTCGAGTATTGGTCTAGCAAATGTTTTGTATGCTCTAGTTAGTAGTGTGATATTACCAGAGAAAAAGCTACGTAAGATTAGGTTAACAACTCTTAATGCCTTTTTGGCTATGTAGTTGCAGTGGGCTCTAGCACTTAGATCATTAGAGGTGAGTATTCCAAGATCCTTTACAGAGCTTGGATCATCAACAAGATCTTGACTATTCAGCTTGTATTTTATTTTCGGATTTTTTTTGCCAATATGTAAGACAGAGCATTTATTTGTTGAGATTTGAAGTTGCCATTTGTTTGACCATTCTGATACACAGTCAAGATCTTTTTGAAGGGTAGCAGTATTGTCTGTGGTATTGAACAGCTTTACATCATCAGCGAAAAGAACGCAGTTGCTCTTAATATGATCACAGAGGTCATTTATGTAGAGTATGAAGAGAGTTGGTCCTAGAACACTGCCTTGGGGGACACCACTATTGACAGGTACAGAATTTGATAGGACGCTCCCAATTTTGACCATTTGTTGTCTGTTTGACAGGAATGCTTCTATCCAGTTATGCAGTTGTCCAGAGATACCATAGGATTTTATTTTTAGGAGTAGTTTGTCATGTACCACTGAATCAAAGGCTTTACAGAAGTCTATGTAGATTGCATCTATTGTTTTGCCCTGATTAATATTCTATTAATGTGATTAATTTCAGTAACAGGACCAAACGGGCAGGATGTCATATGTACTGAAGTTATAGTGTGTGCTTTTCCTCTCCCTTTTCATGTTGAAAAACCATATAAAATTGCACTTCTTGTACAAAGCCAATGGGTTTTTGAGGCTGGGGGTGGGATTCAGTAGCTATAAGATATCCAATAGGCTGATGATCACACACATGTGGGACAGAACTTCTGCCAGGGTGAAACTAAGCAAATGTTGGTATGCACAATATCTTTGGCTACTATGCATGCGGATCAAACAAAAACTGGTTTGCCTACTATCTGTTACTGTATCTCTCTAGTAAAGTAGACATTTTATTTTGCAGGAAAGGAAGAAATACTTAAAAATGAAAATGTCGGCTATTCTTATTCAGGCCTATATCCGAAGTTGGAAGGTAAGGAATTGTGTAATGGATATAGCCAGGCACTTAAAGATTCTGGGTTCAATGCAAAGTTAACACTTGTAATTAAGAAATGTGTTCCTAAATTTACTTTTATTCACCTTCTTTCATATTCAACCATTACAGAACAAAATCTTCTAAGATGTGCAATCAAAGTATTCTGTTCTTTTGATTATAGTCAATATAGGAGAGCCTTTTGAATTCTGCTACCTTTTAGATATCCTAAACATAATGTTCCTAGTTTTTACCAAGATGCTAACTAGAAGAATGAATAAATAAATTTTCATACAATTTCCTGAATATTGATAACTTATGTTTTTGAAATATCTATGCAACCCACAGATGTACAGTAAATGACTCTGCAGAATTTCAGAGCAGAACTAGATGTAAAATGTGATGTTCATTTGTCTATGACATTAATAGAAATGAACAAACAATTCAATCTGCTCCATACACAAGAAATGATATGGGAAATGGATATCACAATTGGTGCAGGGCTGGAGCTAATGTGATGATTGTGCTAGATAAAATATGCAGCAGGATTTTGTGGATTGTATAGAAAATCTTGGTTATTCCCGGGTTTTTCAGTGATCCCTTCAGTTCTATTTTCATAATTTGAAGGGCCTTAGAATCCTATTTCCCATTGCCTATGATATTTGAATTGGTGGGAACCTATCAACAAAGCAGGAAACAGAAATGGGTAACGATGAAGGGAATGAGAGCGATTTTCAGAGACCTTGAGCCATTTCCAAATCACAATAGGATCATGCTATCAAAAGAAATTGCAAAATGCCAAACCTGAGGTGAAGAAAATGAAACCATTGCTTCAGCCACTGGCTCAATATACTGTACTTAATGACAGGCTTCCAGTTATACTATGCTGCCCACATCTTATGAAAAGTCCTTTCTTTTTTTCTGAAACTTGGTTTCTATAATACTTAGTTGCTCCTGTACACATCTTTAGGTGAATTCATATGAAGTGGCAATACAGTTTGTATCACACAATGCTATACTTGCAAATGTCCCATCTGAAAAATGTAGTTTGCTCCATAGTGGAGAAGAGTCTTATCATATGTTACCCTCTGTACCAACTTATTCATTATTTCTTTCCAATTAACAAATTGTCGGTCTTTCAAATGGTTAATATATTATGTTTCATTAATTATGTTAATAAATAATTTATATTTATAATACGTATGTATAATACATATTTATATTTGTAATATATATTCTACAATGTTATCTATATAAAATTACTTATTTTTATGCATTAAATTAACATAATTAAACATATTAGGTTTTACTATGTTAATTTAATTAGCATATGAAGAACGATTGCAGAAATTAGGTATGGCTAGTCGCAGGGATGATTCCAGTATTTGAGGGGCTGCCACAAAGAGAAGGCAGTCAACCTATTTGCTGAAGTACCAGAACACAAGGCAAGAAACAACGGATGGAAACTGATCAAGGAAAGAAGCAACCTAGAATTAAGGAGAAACTTCCTAAGAGTGAGGACAATTAACCAGTGGGACAGCTTGCCTTCAGAAGTTGTGGGTGCTTCATCACTGGAGGTTTTGAAGAAAAGATTAGACAGCCACTTGTCTTAAATTGTATAGGGTCTCCTGCTTGAGCAGGGGGTTGGACTAGAAGACCTCCATGGTCCCTTCCAGCTCTGTTCTGGTTGAAGGCTGTGCATTATGAAAACTCTGTTTCTGAAATATTGAGGGATGTGCTTCTTGACATGAACCAAATCTATCACTTAGGTTAGAGAGAAAAGCTGGTTTTAATTGTTTCTTTTTCTTTTCTGGGCCTTTGGAATAAAAGTAGATCTGTGGCTTTTGAAGTGAATTTTAACGTAAATCTCTAGTTGACAGGTCCACTGTGTCACAGTTTACACAACAAGGAGTCCCGTGGCACCTTAGAGAACAATTACTAGAACAACAGCCTCAAAGCAATCTATGAAAATGGAATCTGCTCACTGTCTCTCTTTTTCTACGGGCTCCTTCGGGTTTCTTATCTATCCTTTCCCTTCCTCTACAGTCTCGTAAACTCCTGCGAGAGTTAAGGCAACAGAAATGTCGTGCTCAGGCTGCCACCACCATTTCTGCTTACTGGAAAGGTTACCAGGTATGGCTGGAGAACATGCCTAGATCTCAGCACAGTGGCCATGATTAGCCCTCCCTTATTCCTACCTCTTAGTTAATTCTCTGTTTTCAGGATAAATCTAAGCTACTCTTCCTTACTGAATTCTTCTGCATGGATTAGAATTAACTCTTGCCTTTATAACACAGCTATCTTGAACGTTGCCTATTGTTGTAGTATAACATGAGTACCAACTGACTTTCCCAGGAATTTCTCCCCTTACGGCACGGGTGTCAAACTTGATTTCATTGAGGGCTGCATCAGGGTTGTGTTTGACCTTGGGGGTGGGGGGCAAGGCCATTTCGACGTTACTCATGTCAGGAGCACCTGTGGTGGCCAAGTGCTAAGACAGGACTTTCTTCAGACCCTCCTTTCCTCTCATTATAATCTTCCTTCCTTCCTTCCTTCTTCTTCTTTTTCCTTCCCTCTTCATTCTCCTTTCTTCTTCCTTCCACTCTTTCCTTCTTTTTTCTTCCTTGCTCTCTTCCTTTCTTTCCTTCTTTTTCTTTCCTCTTTCCCTTTCTCCTTTCCTGTTCTTTCTTGGATACTCAAATGCAAAAGGGGAAACATTTCTCCTTTTGTTTTTAGTTAGTTCTGCTAGCTTTCTGCCAGTGAAAACAGAGCCAGGGTGTGTGTGTGTGTGTACTGCTCAAGACCCTTCGAACACCATAACTATACCAGAAAGGAGAAGAGATCAGATCAGAGGTTGGTATTCAGCAAGTTCTGATCGGTTCTGAAGAACTGGTAGTGGAAATTTTGAGTAGTTCGGAGAACCAGCAAATACCACCTCTGACTGGAGATTTTACAGTTATCCTTCCCCTGCCATGCCCACCAAGCCACACCCACAGAACCGGTAGTAAAAAAAAATTGAATCCCACTACTGGTGTGGCCCTCCCGAGTACCGTTTTCACTGGCAGAGGCACCATGGGCTGGTCCTTCGTTGTTTCCAAGGCAGCCCTGTGGGCCAGATCTAAATACCGCCTGGGCTAGATCTGGCCCCCGGGCCTTGAGTTTGACAGCCCTGCCTTATGGGAATCTGTGTGGTACGTTAAAAGATATAACTTTGCAGGAGAAGTTGCTTCCACATTCACAAAACTTTTTTCCCAGCTTTCTGAAAGAAGAGGCAAAAGGGACATCCACATATATTTATATTAGTACCATGCAGATTAATAGTCGTCCCTTTTTTTGTTCTCTGATGTTCTAGCTTTGTGGAGGGTATTCTTTTTTGTTTTTTGAGATCCTATCATCTTTCCTGTCACCCCTCATATATTCATGTAGTCCTCAAGTTACAACCCTTTGGTTAATAACCATTCAAAGTTACAGTGGTGCTGAAAAAAGTGACTAACAACCAGTCTTTGCACTTATGCCTGTCACAGCCTCAGAGTCATGTGATTGACCCTTGGCAACAGGCATGAACTTACAAAGCTTGCAGCATCCCGGAGTCATGCAATTACCATAGGTAACCTTCCCAGGGGCCTTCCAACAAGCAAAGTCAATGGGGGAAGTTGGATTCACTCAATGCCTGTTATTCACTTAGTGGCTATGGTGATTCGCTTAATGACCATGGCAAAAAAGGTTGTAAAATCACTAAATGACTGCATCACTTAGCAACAGAAGTTCTGGCCCCAATTGTGTTTGTAAATTGAGGACTATATAGTACAATTCCCACAATGGCCCAGAGAATGAAACAAGGAAACAAGGCAACCAGGTACCTACTGCCAGAACTTTAGAACTGTGCAAGAATGTGCCTTAAAAAAAATAAGACCAACAGATGTAAATATTATATACAAGAGCCAAAAGGAAGAAACAGTTGTTCAGTCCTGTATGTTTCGTGCACAAAGTCACAGATTCAACTACCTGGTGATTCACAGATTCAACTATCCAATAAGAAATCTTAGCATATAAAGATCAGAGAGCAGATAACATCAGAAAGTATGAATAAAAAGTTTTTCCATAGTGTTGCTATAACATGAATGTTGCTAACACATATTTATCCTCCTCACAGACAAGGAAGGAGTATAAGAAATATCTCCGCTCTGGGGCCTCTGACCGTATTGCCAATTTTGTTTACCGAAGACTGGTAAGTATCTCTGGGAATGACTTCAAAGTGAAAAATAACTAGCAAAAAAAGTCTATTGAAAAAGAATCTGTTGAACCATAACTAGCCCCCCCAAAAAAGTCTAGGACAGTGATGGCGAACCTTTTTGTTGTGGTGTGCTGAAAGCGCATGCGCCGGCACCCACAATGCAATGCGCCCCACCCACCCACCACACGTGCAACACCCCTGCCATGCCCCCTTATCTGCACTGCTCATGCGCGCACCTCCCAGCTGATTTTCGGCTCATTTGAGGCAGTTTTCGCCCTCCCAGAGGCTCAAGAGAAGCCTCTGTAGCCTCGGGAGGCCAAAAAATGGGCCTTCCGGAAATACCGGAAGTACCTGATTTCAGCCTCTGGAGGGTCTCTGGAGCCTGGGAGAGGCCGTTTTTGCCCTCCCTGAGGCTCGAGAGAAGCCTCTGTAGCCTTGGGAGCCCAAAAAACGGGCCCGTTTCGGGACTTCTGGTATTTCTGGTAGGCCCATTTTTCGGCCTCCCGAGACTGCAGAGTTCAAGCCTCCGGGAGGGCAAAAACAGCCTCAAATGGGGCAAAAATCAGTTGGGAAGCGCACACAGGCGCAGTGCAGGTAAGTTTGGCTGGGGCTTGTGTGACCACACAAATGGCTCTGCATGCCACCAGTGGCACGTGTGCCATAAGTCCACCAACACAGGTCTAGGAATTGAATACCTAGAACCTTTTGGGCTCAGCATATCAAAAATTTGGAAAATGCCTACTTTGATTCTCTAGTTGTCATACCCCCCCCACACACACCCCCAAACAAAAGATCTAGGCCAGCTTAAACAGCGGCCCTTGGTGGCAGCACTAATGCTAGGCCTGAAGTAGAATCTCGGTCCACAACTCAGCCCTAACACCACCACCGCCACACTCAAAAAGAGCACCTTGCACCATCCCCCAAAGTATTTGGGCCTTGGGGAAACGTCACAATTGTCTCCATGGTCCACCACACTCAGGGATGAACCGCTTACCTTCGAGCAGTTTTCTCTTTCTGGTGACAGGCACTTGCTGCCTATCTGAGGCTGCTCTAGGTTGCACAAGGCCTTCGTTCTTGAAGCAGCTTTGAGGTGTTTTCTTATATGGCATCTGCAATAGCCAAAGAGTGCAGGAAACCATTCCCCATTCTCACGTGATTTTCGGAAGTTTTCACGCCAATTCCCATGCAGCTCCCACGGCTTCCAACAATCGCATAAGAACAGCAGTGGTGGGATTCAAATATTTTTACTACCAGTTCTGTGGGCATGGCTTGGTGGGCCTGGCAGGGGAAGGATACTGTAAAATCTCCATTCCCACACCACTCCAGGGGAAGGATACAGCAAAATCCCCATTCCCTCCCCACCTCACTAACCTGCTTTCCAGCTCCGTTCTCCTGTGCAGGGCAACAAAAGAAGACTCAGCCAATCAGCTGGGACTTGGGAGGCAGAGAATAAATGGGGGTGGGGCTAGTCAGAGGGAGTATTCCGAACTACTCAAAATTTCCACTACCGGTTCTCCAGAACTGGTCAGAAGCTGCTGAATACCACCTCTGAAGAACAGGGTGTGCTTTCGGGAATATTTATTTATTCTTAGTGTTGATGTATACTGTCATGCCAATCAGAACGTGGTGTGACAACTTTGACATTCACCATCACTGACCTAGAATAATACCAATTTGCCTTTGTAAGAGGATGCAGACATAGCTGCATGCATACAGTTTCCCATATGTGAGGTCCAGTGCTTAGGCAAGGAACAGTTTATAGCTCAGGATAAGAACTTAGGAGATTTGGTATTTGGAACCTACAGGCCTGTTAAAAAGACATCTATCTAACCTTTGTGATCTGCACTGTTTTCAGTTACCAAATTCAAATTGTTAAATAATAATATCAGTAAAAGGTGCGCAGTTATTCTTTCTCACAAGCCATCTTACTTAATGTTTATCTTGGTTTGGAAACTTGGAGACGGTTGGCTTAAAGTAACTCCATGTACCTTAAAGCAGGGGTCGCCAACCTTTTGGACCTCAGGGACCACCAAACTCATAATTTTAGATCCCAGGGACCACTAACTGGCTCTGTGGGTGTGGCCTAATTTGTGGGTGTGGCTTGGTGGACACGTGACTGGCTGGGCATGGCTTGTATATAAATATTATAAATATTTTTATATATATTGAATTTTTTTAATAAAAAAGAGCAACTTTTACCCAAAATCAGGCAAAGCAGGCAGGCAGATTGAGTTGCTCACAGAATTACAGATTCATTCAGAAATCTATCTATCTGCCATTGGCTAGCTCAGTCTGTCACATAATATTTGCTTGCAAGCAAACTCACAAAATTAACTCACAACACACCATGTATGTAAATACTGAATTTTTTATAAAAAGGAGCAACTTTTACCCAAAATCAGGCAAAGCAGGCAGATTGAGTTGCTCACAGAATCATTCAGTGATCTATCTATCTGCCATAGGCTAGCTCGGGCTCTCAAATTTGCTTGCCATGAGTCTGCACTGAATTTGCTTGCAAGCAAACCTTCAGTCCTAAGGGAGGTTCGGCTATGCTGAGCCGAAGATCTAAAGACTAGCTAGAAAGCAAGAAATCCAACCATTTCCTGCTTCCTAGCTAATCTAAATCTCCCGGCACAGCAGAACAGATGATGGTCGGAAAAAGGAAAAATAGCAACTTAGCAGGCAAGTTTGCCAGGTAAGGAATGAGTGGGTGGGGAGGGTTCCCGCGGGCCATGTGGGCGGCGCAGCCTTGTGTTTCTGCGCAGCCTGGATTAATTGCTTTGGGGGGGTGTTCTGGGGGTGAGATTTCTCTATGGTCCACCAAAATTTTCTCACAACCCACCAGTGGGCTGCGGCCCACCGGTGGGCTGCGGCCCACCAGTTGGCAACTGCTGCCTTAAAGAATCCATAAAAGCTCATTTTATCTCACTAGTAGTACGTGATGTACTGCAACTTGGCAAGCTGCCAGCAAGACATTCATTGGTGGCTGATTGTATGTTGCCTAGTTTAAGAAGAAGGAGTAATTTTAGCATATATGATTAAACCTGAGAAGCAGACCTTGTTGTGGTTTGCCCACAGCCCCAGAACTGGATCTTCCCTGCGCCAGGACAGTCAAGTTCTGACATGAAGCCAATGCAAGCAATCAATAGCTGCTTCTTGGCTAAGGATTGGAGATACACTGCATGCTATAATTCAAGATGTTGGAAGGAAGCTATGCATGTAGCTTCTTTCAGTTTAGGTTCAATAGCAGTACTGAATTTATAAACATTATGTAATCAGAATATACAAGTCCTCAACTTACAATTGAACCCAACCGATCCGTTGTTATCTGTTGTTTAGTGAGACATTTGTTAAATGGGGTTTGCCTCATTTTACAACCTTTCTTGCCACAGTTGTTAAGTCAATCACTGCAGTTGATAAGTTAGTAGCCCAGCTGTTAAGTGAATCAAATTCCCCAATGACTTTGCTTGTCAGAAGGTCACAAAAGGGGATCATGTGACCCTGGGACACAACAACTATCCTAAATATGAAGCAAGCAGCTGAATTTTGACCCCATGATCATGGGGATGCTGCAACAGTCGTAACTGTGAAAAATAGTCATAAGTCATATTTTTTCAGTGCCATTGTGATTTTGAACGGTCACTAAATGAATTGCTGTAAGTCTAGGACTGCCTGAAAGTTCTAACATAGGTCTCAAAGTTTCTGCTTCTCTTCTGCTTCTAGGTACAAAAATTCTTCCTGGGCCTGAAGGACAACCTCCCTTCCATGTCAGTGATAAACCACAATTGGCCTCCAGCCCCATACAAATTTCTCACAAATGCCAATGAAGAATTGAAGAAAATATTCCACCACTGGAGGGTTAGGCACTAATTTTGACTCATTCTGTTCATTGCTCTTCCAATCTAAAACATGTTCTTGGGGACTCTGTTCCTTTAAGGGTTCCAGAAGCAAGCTTATATATTTCTTAGGGTTGTAATTAATAGTGATATGATGGAAGGGGGAGAATGAAAAGTAGCCTATCACTTTGCTTAATCTGAACATGCTTCGGTGCATTCTTCAGAAAGCTTCTGTGCTGAAAAGGAAATCTGAAAATGCTTCCTTCCTCCCTTCCTTTAACTTTCTATGAGCTAAAGAGTAGCCAGTCCCAAGCATTTTCTCAGGTTGCCTGGAATTGGCTTAAGCTGTGCTTGTCTAGTAGTCTTTGCCCTGATCACAGATCTTCTCATATCAGCTGTCAAAGGGAGTTCTGTATTGTTAGCTAGAATGGCTAGCTGATTTGTTCAATCCAGGGTGCAATAGTCATGGAAGATGCTTTTTTTAAAAAAAAAAAACTTTATTTCTGCGCAGATTTATTTCATCCGTATTACTGAAGATTGAATTGGGCAAGGAACAATTCCTACTACTGTAGTAAGAAAGAAGGATTTTTTACTCACCAATCTCCTGCGATGTGGGGCATAGTGGGAGTTGATTTCCCTCTTCGTGTTCCTTTCTTTGAGGCAAACAACTGCACCATTAACTCCCCTCCATCCCCCACAGCATCAAGGGACACCCAATGTAAAAGATTCAGGCCACACCTCATCACCCCAGTCATCACAATTCATCAATTCATCGATTTAGTACTTGCACACAAGTTTTGTTTGACATGTAATATTCTTAGCATGTAACATGTTTCCCGCATTGTAATAGTGATGGGTCAGCCTTTCAATACTACAGTGAAGCAAAGGATGTAAGAATTCACTTATTACTGGACTGAACCCGTCTGTTCTTGTCAGCTGCATTGCTCTCCTTATTGCTTCCATAGTGTAGGCAGGGTTTTATCTCCCTTCTTCCCCACTTCCTCAAGACCCTGAATATTGCTGTAAGGGTCGGGTACGAAATATTTGAAACTGTGGCTGTGCACATGCATGTTTAAAGGTAACAGAGCTCTCTGTGTGTATGTGTGTGTGTGTGTGTGTGTGTGTGTGTGTGTGTGACGAAATCTCACTCATCATCTTCAGGCTTGTGTCTTCGGCTTTGTGCTTCTCGGAGAAGATAGATAGATAGATAGATAGATAGATAGATAGATGATAGATAGATAGATGCAGTATCTAATGTTCTCAAACCACTTTTAGCCTTTTTTTGGTGGGGAGGTGTCTCTGTACTTTATAAGAAGGAATGTCACATTTTTTTTGACCTCTCCCTTGTTGCTCCATGCCTTTCTGGTACAGTGTAAGAAGTATCGAGAGCACCTTCCCCCAAAGGATAAAGAAGCCTTGCAGGACAAGTTGTGTGCCAGTGAACTTTTTAAGGGGAAGAAAAGTTTGTACCCTAAGAGGTGAGTGCGAAGTATGAACCTACGCCATCCAGGCCAAGAGGCCTTGACTTCCCCAGCAATGGAGCAGATCACAATCCAAATTGTATGCTTTTCAGCCTCCCCCAGCCTTTCCGAGGGGAATACCTTGAGTTGAAGGAGAACCCCAAATACCGTAAGCTCCAAACCACTGTCAATGACAAGCTAGTGATGGCCGACCACGTGAAGAAAATCAACCGAGGCGATGGAAAGGTGGGATATGTCTCTTTAACTTGCTTTGGCTTCCAAGGGGAGGAAACTAGGAATTGCAACAAGAAGGTGCCCAAGGTCACCTTGCTAGAGGGAAGAGATCCCTCTATTGCAATCCTGGAATGAGTAAATATTTTGAAACATGTATTGCAATAATATTTGGGAGGCTACACCCACACAGATTTCGCAGTTGATCCCTTCAACAATCAAGATAATAATTATTAGAACTTGTGACTAAAAGTATTTTTTCCTCCACATCGTTTTTTTCTTAACTTATGGCTGCCATTGCTGAGGCTAAAATAAAATGCAGCTGCTGGAGTCCCATCTATGAGAAGGTTCTTATCAGGGGGTCATTGGGGGTCATTTGTTAGGAATATACCCTAGCAAGATCTGCAGGGCAGTCAGGCAGGCAGGCAAAATATGTGAGATAAACGTCTTTGTAGCTTACACTCAGTAAAACAGAGGCACAGTGCTAATTAAATAGTTTTATTCCAGCAAGAGTTAAAGCATAGTCAAAACAGTCCATATATCATTCACTTAGTTCAGTCCGTCCAGGGATTATTCAGTTGCAAATTCCAGTGTCGAAAAAGAGAGGTCAGTAAACTTACAAATATCAGTCCGGTGATTTATCTCCTCGCAGTAGAGAGATATGAAGAACTCAAAAACTCCTCTCTTCTGTCAGCAACTCTTCAGCAGGGGAAAAACCGCAGCTAACAAACCATACAATGTAATCCAATCCAGTAATTGTCATTAATTGCCAGCAATCAATCAGGGAATCATCAGCAATCAATCAGGTTGTCTTGCTCCCTCTTATGGTGGTTTCACACCACACCCAAAATTACATGCTTTGCATTTAAAGTGACACACACTTAAACTAACAATCATAGCTTATATATATTATTTTACCCAAACTTCGTTAGGTGACTTATGTTATACCTAACACACTCACTGAGCTATTGTGGCCATTTTGGCAGGCACTCTGTCCAGTGCTTTTGGGGAACTCTATGGTCATCCAGGCCATGCATGTCTAACAGAAGCATTTGGACAACCTACTACACTTGGTTTGTATTAATCTTGAGGAAAGGGATGTTTTCAAGTTGCATAGCATGCTGTGCAAGGTTTATGGGGCAATATATAATTCACATAGAAATAATGGTTAATTCAGGAATCGGGTTAAGCATTTCATGAATGAACAGGGTAATAGCTCCTTCTGGTTTATCAGCCACATATTTAACAATGATGTCAGAAATCATGACAGAGAATTGTTGCTTTTCTGCTTGGAAATAACCCACGATCCTTACAAATACAGAGTAAGTAAACATTCAGCTCAGGCCCAAAAGTCCTTTTTCAAGAGGCAACTGGGCTTTCTGTGGTTTTTCTTTGAAGACGTTTCGTTTCTCATTCAAGAAGCTTTTTCAGCTGTGACTGGATTGTAGAGAATGGAAGGATTTATACTCCTACCAGTAATCCTCCCATTCTCCATCACCCAGTCAGAGATGAAGAAGCTTTGTGGGTGAGACGCGAAACGCCTTCAAAGAAAACCCAAAAAGTCCAGCTGCCTCTTTGGCACAACCATGACCTAGATGACTGAGAATCTCTGTAGGCTTTCAGTTCAGACAAGCAGATGTAGTACATGAAATAGGAGCTTTTCCTCTCTTCGTTTCAGACATCTTCTCGGATACTCCTTCTCACAAAGAGCCACATCATCCTGGCTGATCTCAAGGCTGCTCAACCCAAAACAGCGATCGCCTTGAATGACATTGAAAGTGTTTCTGTCAGTTGCTATTCAGATGGGCTTCTTGTTCTGCACATTAGAGAGGTAAGTGGAGGGGAAACAGGAGGGCAGAGGAAAAACCTTCCTCTTTCAAGGTTGGTGGGGAGAGGAGGCAGTCCTTGACTTACAACAGTTCATTGTGGGCTGTTCAAATGGCATGGGAAAAAGTGACTTATGACCATGACACACGCAATAAGAGCCGGGTGGTGTGGTGGTTAGAATGCAATATCACAGGCTAATTTTGCCAACTGCCAGCGGTTCAAATCTCAATATTTGGCATACTACCTCACTCATTATTTCCTTTCTTGGAAAAAAAATGACTTTGCCTCACCTGGCTTTATACCTATTTGTCATTAAAAGTTGTAGATCGTCTCCTCCGTCTAACTACTTCTGCTTGTTTGTATACTGGTCTCCTCTCATTTGTGAGCCTTACAGTCCGTATCATTCCTAGTCTTCATCCATGTGCCCCTCTCCCCTTTTTCCCAACTTTGTCTAGACTACAGATAATCCTCGGCTTACAACAGTTCATTTAGTGACCATTCAAAGTTACAATGGCACTGTGTTATGAACTAAACAAGTGCAGTGTCTCACTTAACAGCTGTGGCAAGAAACATTGAAAAACGGGGCAAAACTCATTTAACAACTGTCTTGCCTAGCGACATAAATGTTGTGCTCAGTTGTGGCCATAAGTCAAGGACTACCTGTGTAGTTTCTTTGTGAATGAGCTGTTGTCCTAAAAAAAAAATACCCTAAATGATCAAAGGAAGTGAAGTAAGCCTGAGTAGGAGAGTTTTGTTCAGATTTTTCAGGAAATCAACAAAGTGAGCTGAATTGATCCAGAAATCTTAATTTGAAAACTTATACGTCAGGGGAAATAATAATCAATAATAAACCTGGGTATTCGGTCAGAACAGAATAACAGAGTTGGAAGGGACCTTGGAGGCCTTCTAGTCCAACCCCCTCCTCAGGCAGGAAACCCTAGACCATTCCAGACAAATGGCTGTTCAATCTCTAGTTAAAAACTTCCAGTGCTGGAGCATTCAGAGATGGTATTTAGCAGGTTCTGACCAGTTCTGGGTTAGGGTTAGGGTTAGGGTTGTCCAATCTCTTCTTCCAAATCTCCAGTGTTGGAGCATTCACAACTTCTGGAGGCAAGTTGTTCCACTGGTTAATCGTTCTGTCAGGAAATTTCTCCTTAGTTCTAGGTTGCTTCACTCCTTGATTGGTTTCCACCCATTACTTCTTGCCCTGCATTCAGGTGCTTTGGAAAATAGGTTGACTCCCTCTTCTTTGTGGCAGCCCCTCAGATATTGGAAGACTGCTATCACATCACCCCTAGTCTTTCTTTTCATTAAACTTTTCATTAAACTAGACATACCCAATTCCAGCAACGGTTCTTTATATGTTTTAGCCTCCAGTCCCCTAATCATCTTTGTTGCTGCTCTCTGCACTCTTTCTAGAGTCTCAACATCTTTTTTTATATTGAGGCGATCAAAACCAGATGCAGTATTCCAAGTGTGGCCTTATAAAGTGGTATTAACACTTCACGTGATTTTGATTCTATTCCTGTTTATGCAGACCAGAACTGTGTTGGCTTTTTTGGCAGCTGCAGCACACTGCTGGCTCATATTTAAACAATGGTCCACTAGGACTCCAAGATCCCTCTCACAGTTATTAGTATTGAGCGAGGTACCACATATACCGCACCTGTGCATTTGGCTACTCTTGCTTAAATGTGGAACCTTACGTTTTTCACCATTGGATTTCATTCTGTTAGATAGCGCCCAATGTTCAAGTCTGTCAAGATCCTTCTGTATCTTAAGCCTACCTTCTGGAAAGACTCCGAGTATCTCCAACACATGTGACTACTGTTCTCTTATAGCCTTCCACAGCGGACACCAAAGGGGACTTCCTCCTTATTAGTGACCACGTGATTGAACTGGTTACCCGGCTTCACCAGACCATGCTGGAGGCTACAAAGCAAAAACTGAAACTCCAAGTGGCTGATGAGTAAGAACGGAGTTGGCTGCGGGTGGAGAAAGGGAGGGTTTGGATGAGAGCTTTTATTTAGATGTTTGTATCTTTATTCTCTTGTACTGGTATTGAAAACCTATCAAGATTTATTTATTTTTATTTATTTATTTATTTTGTCAAGCGATTATGAAATAACAGGTATAAATATAAACATAGTTATGAATGCACGAAATGGATACATATGATAAAAATTAAAAAAAGAAAAGAAAAATAGGACAGGGACGGTAGGCACGTTGGTGCGCTTATGCACGCCCCCTACAGACCTCTTAGGAAAGGGGTGAGGTCAATAGTAGACAGTCTAAGGTTAAAGTTTTTGGGGTTTCGGGAAGAAACCACAGAGTCAGGTAGAGCAGGGGTCCCCAATCACTGGGCCGCGGACCGGTACCGGTCCGTGGAACATTTCCTACTGGGCCACCATTTTGCTGGGTGCCGCCATCTTGTTTGACGAGAAAGTGCTTCCAGGTGAGGTTTTCTGGTTGGAAAGTGGCATTTGGGTCCTGAAGGAATCCTCGCGCCTTAGTTTCATCGAAGGGGGGGGGGGGCTTCGAACAAAACTAAGGCGCGAGGATTCTTTCAGCACCCAAGGCAAGGCGAGCCGAGCAACCGTCCCGAAGCCGTCCCGAAGCGAAGCCCATCGACAAACGTACAAAGGAGGAGTTGAAGGTGGTGGGGAGAAGTGGGGGATGGCTGGCTGGCCGGTTGCTTGGCTCACCTTGCCTTGTCATGCGTGCTGATGCCGGTTCCGGGCCGCAGATCATTTTGTGATGCCGGTTCCGGGCCGTGGCACAAAATAGGTTGGGGGCCACTGAGGTAGAGTATTCCAGACACAGACCACTCTGAAACTGAAAATGAAACTGAAACTGAAAGGGTTCTGAAAATCCAGACACTGAAAACCCTTTTCATCCTTTCTTGGAGCCTCCAAGAGGGAGTCACTCCACTGGAGACCTCTGAAGGGATAAAGGAGACTTTGGATCCATTTTTGCCAATTTTTTCTCCCCCCGCCCCCCTGCCAATTAAAAAGACTATACGCCCTCTGGTGTGTCAGAAAAGGAAAAGTGGGCTGCCTTTAGCCCTACTGGGTTTAAGGAAGCAGGTCTTGATGTCAGAAGCTATCTGAATACACATATACAGTTTGCCACCAAACTCACATTTGGTAATAACAGTATAATGTAAATTATATATTATGGCCTGTGCATCTGGAGCTTGTACATCCCTAATTATAGTTTGTGTGGTTTGTAGCATTGTATTCAGGTTGTTGAGTTGCAGCAATTAATACATTTCACATCCCTTTTCTAATTATAGTCAAGTAAATAATAATTAAATAATGAAACATTTTAGCTTTAACAGCTTGCAAAAATAATTGTGAATTTGATCATCCCCAAAGACTATTGAATATTGTATCCTATTTGACTGAAAATAGTACACGGCAAACCTACCACTGTATTTCTTTATAAGGGACAGGAGTCAGTACCCAAATTGTTCAGCAGTGACCTTACATATGTTTGCAGAGTTAATCTCCCCTTCTTTGAAATCCATGATTTACTTGATAAGGTTTCAAAAGTAGTTTATCCTTGTCTGCCTCTTAGGGCTGAGAGAATGTGACTTGCTCAAGGTCACCCAGCTGGCTTTGTGTCCAAGGCAGAATTAGAACTCACAATCTCCCAGTTTCTAACCTGGTACCTTAAACATTAAACCAGACTGGCCCCAATCCTATAATTAAGCCTGCCTTATGGTTGTACTCTATTGGATATAAGCTTTTGATCAAACATGGCATAGATGCCTCCACACAACAGACAAATCGTGAAGCAAACTTAAATCAAGAATTGTGTTGTTTTTGTTCAGCTGACCTTTGATTTTTTTTCTTTTTACAGATTTCTCATAAAATTTAAACAAAACAACATCACTGTCAAACTTGTGAAGACAGATGAGACACAAGGCACAGCTCCTGTTTGCAGGAAGAAAGGCAGCCATAGGATGGAGGTGTTGGTCCATTAAAGTGAAATTATTGCTGATTCAAAGGCAGCTACATTGGACTTTTAGGGACTCTGGAGCTGAGAATATGATTTAGACTTGACACATTACAGGCATAGGTGCCTTCTAGGTGTCTCATCAGGATGTTTACAGCATGGAGAAACATGAATTGCATACATTCCAAGGCCAATCAATGCATTTGCAGAAGGTGTAAATGGCACCTTCCATTGTCTTGTCAAGATCTTCAGAAATGGCTTCTTTCTTTAGATGCTTTAAGTGGAAAATTTGGGGAGAATGTCAATTAAAAACAAACAAATCAAATGAAATGTCAACTCTGTTTTGATTTAAGCCACTTCGGAAGGCTATACCATCTTTAGGGACACCAAAGAATCTAAAGCCTGAATTTGGCTATAGAGGACAACTTTATTTTGAGCTATCTGAATAATCTCCACACCATTTTGAAATTTCTTTTGCTTCTCTCCAGAGATATCCAACAGGGCAAGTGGCAAAGTCTCATTTATTTATTTATTTTGATCACACTAGATCTCTGCTCTAATTTAATTTTAAAATGAATGGGATACTAGCACACTAAAAAGCAAATCACTAATTGCACACATACATTACTTCCAACAATGCTCTGGGTAGAAACAGTTTTAGAAAGTGAAATGGTGCATAGGTAAAAATAAAGGTAAAGGTTTCCCCTGTCCAGTCAAATCCGACTCGGCTCATTGACATTTCTTAGGTGAACGAAGACACTTCCACGGTCATAAGGCCAGTGTGGCACAAAGGCACACAGAATGCACCGCCTCTTTTCTACAGAAATGGTGCCTATTTATCTACTCGCATTTGCATGTTTTCAAACTGTTATGTTGGCAGGAGGTGGGGCAACGCTTCGTTTCCCTTATGGGTATTATCTGATCAGCTATTCCCATGACATGTTTTCTCATTTTCACATGTAGAATTGGTCAAAAAGCATTGGGTGGGTGCCTGGCTTTTTCATATATAGCATGCTTTTCCACTAAGAAGCCCTAGGAAATACACTTTATCCCGGATTTATTCTTAAAACAATTCTGTGAAATCATTTGAGTTAAAGGAAAGGAATTGATTCAAAGTCATTCAGGGAGTTCAATGGTCACTTGGGGATATTTTAACTATTTCATCACATCAACACAATGTGTTGGTTTTGTAGCACTTGCATACCTACCCTGTTTATGGTAACTAATGTGCTCAAGGCTGAGCAGATCAACAGCAGAAAAGCAAAGGTATATCAGTCAGAGATTCTGAAGCTAAGGCTTCCCTGAGTCGTTTTGCTTCCCACAGGAGCCTGTAGAAGAATAGCCAAGATTCAATCCAAATTTCAGAGAGCCAAACAAGGTTTACCAGCCCTGTCCAGTGCCCAGAGTTTTAGGCTTCTTACACAAATCAAAGGAAATGACATACCAGACACAAGAAATCAGATGGTTGCTTACAACAAAGAAACTTGGGTCAAAGCTGCCTCTTAAGTAAATTTGCAACCAGATGTTGCAAAGACCAGAAGATCCGTATTTGGTAAGGAGCCTCAATGAATGTCTTTGCTCTGAGCCAAAGCCAAGAATTTGGAGGCCGCGATTACTCCAGTTGTTCTGTTGCTGCCTGTCTTTGAGCCTCACATGATTCCTAGCTTGTATCTCCTGAGGTTGGAATTCCACTGGTGCAAATGGAGCAACTTAAGAACAGAACAGAAGAGAACCTTCTTCAGATTCAGAGTCCAAGACATGATCTTGATCTGAGAAAAAAGTGTAACCTGTCTCCTTGAGATTAAGATTGTAGGAGTTGATGTAGTCATATTGCAAAAGTATAATAAGATACCTGGATTTCCAAACAACCATTTTGAAAGAGTATGATATGAATTTGCTTTCATAATGTTTGATTATGTCTCTTTGGTACATTTAGTACAGATATGCATTAAGCAAGAAACACTGGAGAAATACATCCATAAATGGCAAATGACATTTTGCCCACCTTCTAATTTCAAAAGGCAGAAGTGTTTATTGTACGGCAAGCTGATCTCCCTTTTATAAAATGGTCTTCCTGGGACAAAAAGGGAAATTCACAGCAAGTACACCATGGAGGATCACAGTGTTTCTAAGTATGTCATTTAACAGGTTAACAGAGTTGGAAGGGTCGTCGTCCAACCCTCCCCAACCATTTCTGATAGATGTCAGTCTAGTCTCTTCTAAAAGGTTTCCAATGATGAAGCTCCCACAGCTTCTGAAGGCGAGCTGTTCCATTGGCTGATTACTCTCACTGTCAGAAAATTTCTTCCTATTTCCAGGTTGAACCTCGCCTTCTTCAGTTTTAAAGGAATAATGGATGGAAACTGAACTTCCTTTACTTTAATAGTAATAGCAGTCACCAGTGAGAAGGCTTGCAAACAATAGGATTCTCCATTCTATGCATGCCTATTCCTGTTTTTCTAAATAATATTTTTTATTTTGAATACAAATAATACAAACATAATACATTTAAATCTAAATACAAAAAAGAGAAAAAAATACAAATATTACAGTGCACCCCCACCTTATTCTTATGTTTCTTCTTCTGTAACAACTAAAAGATACACAATATATTCCAATTGTGCCCTTATCCCCTCCAAAACAACATATATTCTTGAGTAGGTTGATTCCCTTTGCCTTCCACCAACTCTGTTTTTATAAAATCCCCCCATTCTTCTTCTTCTTTTTCTTCAGCGTTTGTCTCGCGCTCGGGCGAGGTCCGCTAATGTCCTTGAGTACTGCTTCCACACCTCTCTGTCTGCCACGTGTGTCGGGTCTGCCTTCGCGATCTCTAGATCGGCCTTGATCGTGTCCATCCAGCGTTGTTTAGGTCTACCACGCGGTCTCGCTCCTCCGACAGTCACCTTCATTACAGATTTGATGATGGATTCTTCCTTGGCGCGGCTCACGTGGCCGAACCATCGTAGCCGGGACTGCCTCATGACCGTGGGGATGGGCACGACGTTGAACCGTCTACGCACTTCTTCGTTCCTGACGCGATCGAGTAGGGTGAGGCCTACCGACCATCGGAGCATTCGCATCTCCATTATCTGGAGTCTGCTTTCGACTTCTTTGGTCGTCGGCCAGCACTCTGCGCCGTATATGGCCACGGGGCGCACCACAGAGTTATAGATTTTCGCCTTCAGGCGCATCGGCATCTTCTTGTCACAGAGGACGCCCGTGACGGACTTCCATTTGCCCCCCGCTGCATTGATCCTGGCTGCCACCTCAGTTTGTAGTAGGCCTTCTTCCCCAAGAGTAGTTCCCAGGTACTTGAAGGTGGAGGCGCGCGGTAGCTCCTGCCCGTTCACGTGGATGGAGCCTGTCATTTCATTGTCAGTGGTCAGGTATTCGGACTTCTTTAGGTTCAGCCGGAGCCCGAACTGCTCGAGGCGGTCGTGCCACTGTTGGACTCGGTGCTCTAGTTCAGCCTTGCACAGGTTGGCCAGGAACACATCATCGGCGTAGAGCAGCGTCCATGGGGCGGGCGTGTACAGGTCGTGTGTAATTGTGTCCATCACCAGAATGAACAGCAGTGGTGAGAGAGCAGAGCCCTGGTGTACGCCGACGGTAATATTAAACTCCTCTGATATCCCAGCTGCCGCTTTTACACGGCTTTTGTGACATCTGTATAGGAGTTGGACCCATTGTACGAGCAGCTCAGGCACGCCGTGATCTCGCAGTGCGTACCAGATGAGATCGTGCGGGACTCGGTCGAAGGCCTTTTCCAAGTCTAGGAAGGCGGTGTGGAGCGGGATTTTCTTCTCTCTGTGAGCCTCCATCAGCATCCGCACACCGAAGATGGCGTCGGTGGTGCCGCAGTTCTTGATGAATCCAGCCTGGTTGACGCTGATGTCGACGATGTCCCGAATGCGCTTATCAAGGACACGTTCAAAGATCTTCATAGTGTGTGACAGTAACCTGACCGGTCTGTAGTTGGAGCAGTCCGCTGGGCTGCCCTTTCCCTTCCAGATCGGAACAGTGGTGCTGCGGTACCAGTCGTGTGGCACTTTTCCCGTGGAGACGATGTTGTTGAACAGCTCGCACAGCCACAATGCCGAGCCCGGTAGTGCCTTTTTCCAGAAGTCGGCAGGGATGTCGTCTGGTCCTGTTGCCTTACCGTTTTTCATGGCCTTGATGGCGTCGGCGACCTCGCTGGCATAAATGCCTGAGACTGGGCCTTCAACTGGGTCACCTCGCGGGGTTCGTGGGTGTGGGAACTCCTCGGTGGAGATCTTCTCGAAGTATTGCCGCCACCTCTCTGCAGCGTCTCTGGGGTTGACGATCAAATTTCCCCTTTCGTCGTTGATCCCATGAAACTGGTCAATGTCCAGGGTCTTCCTGTGTCTGCTTTTGGCTAGGCGGTAGATCTCATTCTCGCCTTCTCGCGTGTTCAGCTTCTCGTAGATGTCATCGTAGTGGGAGCTTCTGGCTGTCGCTACTGCTTTCTTGGCTGCCTTTTTGGCCGCCTTGTATTCGCAGAGCTTCTCGCTGGTCTTGTCCTGAAGAAAGGCCTTGTAGAGCCGTTTCTTCAGGTGTACGGCATCTTGTACTTCCGGTGTCCAGAGCCATGTATCTCGTTCGATGCGTCTCCGTCCTGGCTTGGTGCAACCAAGCTGTTGGCAGCTGGCAGTGTGAACAGTGCTCTTCAGCATGGACCACGCTTCCTGTGGCCCGCCGACCATCTGCGGGAACTGCTCCGGTTTGATGAGGGGTCCCGCCATCTTCTTCTGGTTCCACCACTTGATTCGTGGCTGGTCTGCATTCCTTTTGTCAATCCTGGTCTTGGGCTTGCTGATCCTGATCTTCGCCATCAGCGGCCTGTGCTGACTGCTCGATTCGTACGGGTACACCTTGGCGTTGAGCACGTTTTTAGCGGCTCTTCGTCGTACGATGATGTAGTCGATCTGTGTGTGGTGGCTCCCGTTTCTGCTATGGTAGGTGAGGAGTTGAGATTCTCGCCTAATGAAGCAGGTATTCGTGATGGTCATATCATGGGAGTCGGCAAAGTCCAGGATCTTCTGGCCATTCTCATTCGTATCGCCTGTGCCGTGCCCACCGTGGCACTGGTGTCCGTTTTTGTCCCGCCCTACATGACCATTCAGGTCGCCCGAGATGATGATGTCGTCTTCGTGTGGGATCTGCCTGAGTTGGATGTCGAGCAGTTCCCAGAAGGTATCCTTCTCCTCCTCGTGACATCCGGTCTGAGGGGCGTAGGCGGACAAGATGTGTAGGCGCTGCCTCTTGGTCGCTACGACGATTATCATCAGTCGTTCTGTGAGGCGCTTAACTTCTGCGACGGAGCTTTGCCAGCTTGGACTGACAACCACAGCTACACCGCCGCGGTTTTCCTTACAGCTGGTGTATATGATCTTGTAGCCGTCTATAGTCGTAGCCTTGTTGCCCTTCCAGCGAGTTTCCTGGAGGCAGCAGATGTCCAGCTTCCTGTCCCGCATGGCCCTGACGATCTCGGTCGAGCGTCCAGTCAGCGAATCCACGTTCCAGGTGGCCACCTTGAGCGTCTGGCAGTCCTCTGTTCCCCGCTTGCGTTTTTTCACACGGATCGGGTAGTCTCCGTGCGCATCGGACCCGGACGCAGTCGCCATAGCTTTCTCACACGGTGCAGGTGCGCCGTGCTTTCCGCGTGGACCATTTCGTTGATTTTTGGCGCGGGCCAATGGTCTC